AAAAAAAAAAAAAAAAAAAAATACCGTAGAGTATAGGGAACACCATAGAAAAATATTTAAGAAAAAAATGGATACCATGATGCTACGTTATCTAGAACAAAATAACGAGACCAAGTATAATTCGAAACACTTGCAAAGGACACTTGAGGTATATCACACCACTGAACTGGTACAAAGTAGATCGGATAGTGAAGCAAGAAAATCCGATCTCTAAGACACCCTTGAGAACTATTATAAAATAATTAGAGAGGTCGTTTAACAAGAATGTTAAAACTACGTGAAACTCTTATGAAACGAGAACGAGAAGAGTAACGTAAAATGGCTTAAATCGATAATTTTTATTTAAACGTACGCTGATAATTCCACTGCGAGTGTTTGCGAATTTTTATATCCTGATGACTGAATAAAAACTTGTGCCATCCCTACGATTTACTACAATAAACTCTACCTTGGATACTTTATATACTTTTGCTTACAATGCATTCCCAATAATTGTAATAATTTAAATTAATTTAATAAACAAACGTTAAAGGAACTCAAATACGAGATCTCAAGCTTTCACGCACGTGGGAAAGTGAAGATCGAAAAATTTGTATGCGCTTATACATTTGATTACCCAGGTGAGCCAGGTTGAAACAGAAGTAAATGATTCTTCAATTTTTGACGTTTCAGATATTGAACAAGATGAGCGTGGGGAAAATTTTAACATGGATATCGTGTTCTATGGTCGTGAGCGAGTGCCACATTCGAAAGGGACGTGACGAGGATGGCTCTAAGTTAATACGTATCAACGCTGACGTAATTCTTGGCGGGATCTTTCCTATGCACGAACAGGTATGTTTCTATTGTTCCCTGTGCGTAGAACGAATCGTCTTCAATTGACGACGTACGAAAGCAAAATTCTATAGCACTGGCAGCTTTCATTGTGCCACCGAGATTTCATTACGAAGTTCGACGGAAAGGAATTAAGCCACTTAACTAACTTTCGCTAACTTCGGAAATTACGTAACCGTC